TGTTTTTTTCCTATTTTGGCTATTTTTACGCGGTTTTCGTGCACTCGATAAATCTTGCTTCTGTCTGTGATGCAGACAGATATGTTACAGTGCTTATTTATTTATTTATTTAATTATTTATTTATTTATTTATTGATACGTGCAAAAACATGTGAGTAGAAATAGTAAAAGGAGAGTCTTGCGATTATAAAAACCGTAGTATCAATGTATGAAAAACATCAGCAAAAAGATACATATAATAACAATTAAAGTACAAGATGGTGAAATAATTTCACCATTAGGAATTAGGGCGATTTGCAGTAAAAAATTTAGCTAATGTTTTTTGAAGAGCAGAGCATCTTGTGCCAGTAGCCTGTTAAAATCGAAATCACCCTCACAGTGAAAAAATGGTACCTAAAAGTGATTTTGTCTTGAGAGCTCTTAGTTTTAGTGAACCTCCTCTAGTTCCAGAGTTGCAAACGTTGAAAATTTTTGAAAAGTCACTTCGCATTTTCCTGTTAGCATCTTGAGAGCCATGAAAAGCTCAAATTTTCTCTTTCTGAGGGCTTAACTAGGAAGAGACAACACGTTATTGCGTTCATTATCGTCTCCAATCTTATATGGAGAAGTAAGTGTAGTGCCAAATTCGACAATGGGGCGAATGCACATCTTGTAGGCATTGATCAAAACTTTAGCGTTTGTGGTTCTGAGGGCCTTCAATAGATTGTAAGTTTTGGAGAGAGCTTTACTTCTTCGATGATGACGCTTCTTTGTGAAAATTGTTAATTTGCTTCTTGAAAAATTGGAAAAAGTTTTTTTTTCTTCACATTGTTCCCTCTCAGTGTTTTCGCAGCGATGTTTTCTTACTTGAGCGGTTATTGCGCAGAATAATAAGCGCAGCAATCCAGACAACGTCCCAGGAAGGAGAAAGGATCCGGGGTAAGATTTCAAAGCGCATCAAAAAGTAATTGGGTTTCGCGTGTATTTCCACTTAGTAGGAACAAAACTTTGCGTTTTCATAACTAATTTTTTCTTGCTTATTTTCTTCTCGATAATCACTACTTAGAACATGGTTGTTTTTAAAACCATCACAAAGAAAAAGTCAGCTTTTTCTCGTTTGACCCCCTGTTGCGGATTGCCGGACCCTGGAGCGAGGTACCGCTCGAAATACGCTAAAAGATTTCAAATCCATTGTTGCGCTTCTAACCAGTTTTTTGAGAGTTTTTTTGTTGGTGCTGTAGTAAGGTTTTATGATCTTTTTGGTTAGAAAATAGTCCTCGAAATTTTCACTATCTTTTGATGGCTATTGTATATCTGTCAGTTCTAGGGGAGTAAGGTTAAAAATGCCATGCCAAACCCGTCTGGAAAAAAAACATTGTAAAAATTCAAAATCTTGTTTTTTCCGCAAAAGCTTTCCTTCAAGGCTTAATATCTTCCTCATAACCAAAAGTTTACTCAATTTAAAGGATATATTGAGAAAAGTCGTTCATGAAAAAATTATGTTATTTCGAATTTAAAACCAGCAAATTATAAATTGACCAGCAAACAAAGAATATGCGTTGACGACCGCTTCGTTCCGTGCCTTCACATCACCGCAGACGGCCTTTTCAAAGTCTTTTCAGCCTTACAGTGCGCTGCAGCGCGGGGGAATTCTTAGTTTGCGGCATACCTGTCCTTTACCTCTTCTGTTAATTGAGCATTTCACATCCTTCTTTGTTCTTCTTAGTTTTCATTTCGAGCAGTTACTGGTTCTCTTTTTCGAAGCTCTCTCGCCGATCAGATTTACTAGATGTTCTGCTTTGATAGATATTGAAAGACCAGAGAGAGTTCTAGCACATTTTTTGAATACCTTCCTTTTACCAAACAATCATTTTAATTCTAAAGCATCGCCCCGGGTATAGTTAGGAAATAGGGTGAGCATTATCGATGGCTGTCATGCCTTCTTAGATGAGACCACTCAAGTGTTTAGCTTCTTTCAGTATGCTTCGTACGAAGGTATTAGGCTTAAAGGCAGTGTCCGGGCAAAAAACTCGATTTTGAGATTTTGTGCTTATACGGGCCTATTCGCCATGCTGAATGAAAATCCACATTGGAAGGCGCGAAAACGGCGAAAAAGGGCTCTAACACAGGAGGGAAATCAGCAGGTGGGCGGGGCTTTCCCCACTGTGATTTCACGCTCCCAGCTTCCAGAGCGATTTTCTCGGTTCCGATTTCAAGTCATGCATTCGCACCTGGCCGGTGGAGATCTCAGGAACTAGAGGAATTGGAAAGATTGCTCCAGAAGCTGGGACTGCGAAATTCACAGTGGGGAAGGCCCCGCCCACTTTCGATTTCCTTCCTGCGTTCGAGCCCTTTGCCGTTTTTGCGCTTTCCAATGTGGATTTTCGGATTCAGCATAGTGAATAGGCCCGGGTAAGCACAAAATCTCAAAATCGAGGTTTTGTCCGGACACTGCCTCTAAAGGCAGTGGCTCTGGAAAATTGTAATGAGCGCTTTCCGTTCCTCCTTGCCCTTCTGGATGCGTTTAAACTAGGGCTGTTCTTAAAAACTCAAAAAGTGCTTTTTGTGGCGTTTTCCGGCCTTGGAGATTGCTGAGGAAGCTGGAGCGGAGATTCCCGCCAAAAACAGTGACTGGGGCAGGGAGTTGTACAGTCTGCCCCAATCCTAACCAGGCCAAAATCGGCATGGCGGGAATCCGCGCCGCGAGGGTTTCGCGCCACATCTGCGGCTAGCTAGTTTGCTCTCTCCTCGATCTATTCACTCTCTGCGACAGCGCGCATATGCAGCGCAATCCCCTAGCGCTGCGAGCGCGCAAATTCCGACGTTTCCCTGATCCCGATTGGGGCAGACTGTAACATCACTCATTTTGAAGACAGTTGGCTAATTAGCTCAGGCAACCGATTGTGAGTCGGCTGTGAGAATCTCCGCTCCAGCCTCCTCAGCAATCTCCAATGCCGGGGAACTACAGAAAAAGCAGTTATTTGACTTTTTAAACATAGCTCTGGTCTGAACGCATCCAGAAGGACAAGGAGGAACAGAAAGCGCGCAATTTCAATTTTCCCGAACCATTGCCTTCAACGAAAAAAGGCCAGAAACAGAGAATGTGGAGTTGAAAATATGCTTGAGCACCGCTCCTACGAAGAAGATAGCTCTCCCATCTGCTCTGAAGATACTGGAAAACTCCAAACTCTTCTCGTGAGGTAAAAGTCTTACTCACAACGGATTGCCTTCAATGTCATCTGTAACTATGTGTCAGTTTTCCTCATCTTGATATTATATATCAAATTTCCAGACTTGCTTCACTCAGATAATCGCCGGGGGCAGGCGGTCCGCAAACTCGCGCTTTTCTGCAGACGATCAGCAGATTTTTGGGGCGTGGCCAAACCTTCAGCGGGCGGCACTTCCTTTACGGTCGCATATTCTGCCGGCGGGCAGCAATACAGCATTTTTGCAAGCGCTTGGCAAATAATTTCTTTCAGCGAGCGCTGGCCAAACTTTCAGCAAGCGCTCCGACTCTTTTTACGCGTTTTCGGGCGTACGTCGAGCACAGGTAAGACTCTGTGTAGCAGAGGTGTCACCGTTGGTTTAATTACTCAAGTTTGAGGTACTTTCTCTCAGCGGAAAGTGCCTGGGGGTTGCGCGGTCCTCCACAAAGGGCCGTGCGGCCCCCAAAATTCTTGCATATTCTCGCGAAATGTCCGCGAGAATGCGGCCACTGCTCCGCAGCAAATCTATAAGGAAACCGCGAATGCTCTCCAAGCATTCGGCTAAAATTGCGCTAAAATTATTCCAAATTTCTGCAAGCAGACCGCAAGAAATCAGCGAACTATTTTCCGGTGTGCGCTTGCTCAAAATTCGCATAGCCGCCTGCCCCCGCGATTATCTGAGCACTTGAATGTCGTGCTACATTATGCTCTTTATGCAGTGGCAAGCTATAAGGGGTAACAAACGATGTGCAATGATTACCAGATTTTCCACAGTTCTGATTGTCTGATTCTTAGACTATGGCCCGTAGTAAACCCCCATTCATCCCAGGTGACTTGAGATGAATCATTTAGACGAACTTCCTCGGGTGACCCTAATCCCGCCCACCTTCCCATGCTTTAGGATAGTCAGTTGAACAGTCAGAAGAATGCCCGGTCAAGTGTCACAGTCAGTTCACCAGAATGCCACTTATCCGAGGTTGCAAATTCGGGTGACCCGAGAGAAATAGTGTGCTTAAGAGGAGGATCAGACAAATTTCCCGTAAGTTGCTCGTGAGTAACTTACGGGACAATCTAGCCGACGTATTATTGCGGTCTGAATTCACCGCGAAACTGCACACGTTTTCCCCATGGTTTGATTTTGGGTTATTCGGTGCGTTTCCACTGTTTTCGCTTGATATCACCCATTTATTTTCTTCTCTGATGCTAGCCATCATGTCCTTACTTCTTCTTCACGGTTTTTGCGCTAAATTCCCAAAAATCTCTTGTACGCATCCCATCTCTCATCTCGTGTTACGTGGTATGCATTTATTGGTTGTTATTGTCGGTATTCTGTTTACGTTTTATTGTTGCGTTTTGTTTGTCACGCTTTAAGTTTTATTTAGTTTTACGGTTAATCGACCGTACCGTTTGCGTTGTGAACGTCGAAGTTGAACCGAAAGTAGTGAGTGATTAATTTTTTTTACTTCGAACCTAACCTGAGAATTTTCTTCGATGTTCTCCTTTGTGGTTTTTTTGTACCCAGTAAACAGTAATTTGTGTCGTGTTCCATAGACACTACTGCACATTTGCACCGTTTTTATTATGGTTTTTCTCGTTTGGGTTCTTTTCCGCTAGAGTTAACACACCCTCGCGGAGAAGGGGGGGGGGGGGGTGGAGGGAGGGGAGGAGGGAGAAGGGAGGTGGGAGGGAGGGGAGGAGGGAGAAGGGAGGTGGGAGGGAAGCGGGGTGGGGTGGGAGGTTGCAAATCTACTTGAATCGCCGAAGTTCCGAAAACAAAAAGATTTAGGGCTGCTTTCATCATTTCTGAAAAGGAGTATGTCAGGATTTGCTGCAAGCACTGGAACACCAAGGGGTAAGGCAAAAGGATGACCAAATTAGGATTGAACTCTCATTTTAAGAAATCCCTAACAAGATTCCGAATGCTATTTCGAAGCACATCATTAATTACTACGTGAACCATGCGGACGTGCTTTTGAACGACACGAACCTGCGGAGTGTCTCTCAAAACAATAAAAGAAGCCAAGCATATAAGAGCCTGCTGACCGAGCTCAAAGAGGAGTTTGGATTCGAACTTTCGGAAAAGCGCTTGCGAAATCACTTCGACTATATGCGCAATAAAATTATCCAGAAAGGAATGGCGCACAAACGGAGTCTTAACGCTGAAAAAAGGTCAGCCTACGGTCGTGAAACACGGAACAAATGTCTCACTTGGGTGCTTTCAGGTACAGGGGACTAACGGGAGGGGGACGTTCCCTAAGGGATGAGAACGCATTCGCGAACGCGAATGAGCCCACCCCCTTTGAAAGTTCCACAGAACAAGCACTGTGGGAGTATTTTGACAATACTCCCACAACAGTCCCGTTCAAAGAGGGAGAATCGTCGGTTGGTAAAGTAGGTATCTGTAGTTGCTCGCTAAGTACAGTTAAAAGTGGATTGTGATTGCAGAGGAAAAGGGCGGCATCCCCGGATGATGAACTAGTGTCTTCGCTTTCACCGGAACCGAACATGGTGAGTCCACATATCCATCAAGCTCGTTGTTTTATGTTGTTGCCGTTCAGGATGATTTCCTCAGTGATAGCGAGGACGGGCGGCCAAGGCATCAGCGATTTACTGAGAAGGATATCCTTGAAGAGCAAATTCTTCTTTGTCAAGTGAGTGACATACTTGATTCCAGGTATTTTTCGTCATTTTTCAGGATCAACGAAAGTTCTTCCGCAAATTAATGCACACATTGGACGTATTTACTGATTACGTCATGCGCCAGCAAGAAAAATCGCAAGGAATCCAAGAAACGAAGCAGCCGAAAATAACTCCATTGGCGGATCCTAATATAGAAGAATCGGTCTTTTCAAGTCAGCAATCCTGTTGAATGTTTCTTTTGTTTCGGTAAGTTTATTATCTTTTACATAATGTCTCATTCTCTAAATCAGTCCTATTTTCATGTCTTTATTGTTATTGTTGTTGTTATTGTTTCACTACGTAATGCTGCTATCATAATCTTGTTGTTTGTTTGTTTTCGACTATCACGGATCGGCTACGGTTAGTTTATTGCAAAGCGATTGTTTCGCGTTTTATTTGAACAATTTCAGATGATTATATTCGGAGCGATGCAGCGTGGGCTCAGTTGTACACTGGTTTTCTTTGTTATGTCTATCGTCACATTATTAGCGCGCATCTTGATAACTTTTTTCGGTCCAGTCCGTGTTCATCGCAGCGGTACGGCGCCAGCTTATACAAAACATTTTGTGTGAGTAATTCTACTTTACCATCTTTATCTCTTTTACGAGTTTCAAAAGGATGACAACCACATTTATAGCTATCACCTGTACTATAGCAGCTGTCGTTGATGTAGTGTGCCCTTGGTTTCTGCTTTCAAGGAAAAGTGTGAGAATAAAGTAATCTCCTTGCAAAATTAGAAGTTTAAGTTTTCCCCCGGAGTGTATATAGGACATATACAGAGTCTCTTGTACTCAAATTCCACTGTTTTTCTTTCGAGTGTTCCAGACTTGGCTAGGTGCAGATTACTTGTGTGATGTTTATCTCAATTGTTGCAGGTATGGCTACATCTCCAGTCCGCTCAATAGCTTGAGTGGCGCTCACTTGAGGACTGCTCTTCGAACAATCTTTACGGCGCCCTATACTTCCCCGACGACCTCTTTCTAATGCGGCTTTCGACGTTTATGACTCACTAATGATGTCAGTCCAAACGGTCCTCACAGTCCAAACGCTGACTAAAGAAGGTAATCATTTGATTAGTTAGTGGAACTGGCAAAACTGGCGCCTATTGCATCCCGGTCATTGAGAAGATAAATCCGGCTATTAAGAAAATTCAGGCGCTTGTTATGTGCCTCGTCTCAGATCTGTGTCGAACTATGGAAACATATCAAACTGAAGGTGGGACTAGCTTGAACTCTATTTCAAAATGATCAGAGTACCAGTTGCAGTTGTACCAGTTGAGTACCAGTTGTTTGCGGGACGCATTCTTGACTTGATGGAGAAAGGAGTGGCGGACATGTCAAAATGCAAGATGCTCGTACTCGATGAAGCTGACAAGGTTCTCAGTCAAGAATTCCAGGTGAGTGTGTTTTGTTATCGTCATTTATGTCTTGATTAAGCATTTTTCAAAAAAATTTTGTGTCATATGTGCAACAAAAAGCACTGAAGGTTGATCATGACCGAGAAGTGTCATTCATTTGTGCAGTTTCTCTTTGAAATCGAAATCCTTTCGTAAATCATAAATGATGACAAATCTAAAATCCAATTGTCTAGGGCATCCTCGATCGCCTTATTTCGTACCTGCCAAAGGAACGACAAATCATGCTTTACTCTGCTACCTTCCCGATGACCGTGACTGCCTTAATACTTTGTTTCTCAAGGTAAGAAAAGATGAATACGATTGCTGTTAAAGCTAATCGATTCGTTTCTAGCTCCAAGTCAATCAGTCAATTATTTTCTGCAACTCTACTCAGCATGTTGAGCTTCTAGCCAAGAAGCTCAACCGAAGTAGGATATTCCTACTTTATACACTCCAAAATGGCACAACATCATAGAAACCGTGTCTTTCACGATCTCCGCCAAGGAAGTTGCCGCAACTTCGTTTGCTCGGATTTGCTCACTCGTGGTAAGTATTTGTCATTTACTGAGTCTGATCAATCATTTTGCACCATAAGCCATTTTCTTTCAAGGTATCGATATTGAAGCTGTAAATGTTGTCATCAATTTCGACTTCCCTCGTAACGCCGAGACCTACCTTCACAGAATCGGCAGGTTGGTAAAGAATTTTGATTATTTTTAGGATCTTTATCACACAATGGCGGGTCGTAGTCGCGTGTTGATGAACTAGTTTCTATCGTTACAGGATTGTTGGTGAACTATTGCTTTTCGTTTGGATCAGGACGATTTGGCCATCTCGGAGTTGCTATTAACCTCATCACTTACGAAGATCGCCGTACTTTGCGCCGTATTGAACAGGAGCTTCGGACGCAAATTGAGCCTATACCAAAGGCCGTTAATCCAAAACAAACTCTACGTCGTCGATGGCTGAGCCTTCTCTTTTCGCGTTACAACATACCACGCGGTAATACGTTCCAAATGTAAACTTCATGTACTCCACTTTTGTTTGTTTTTTTTGTCCCCAGTTTCTACTTATGTTCTTAGTTCTTTTTTTCGACTATTTGCATTTGCAAACGATTTTGGTGATAATCAGTGATCACTATATCCAAGTGTTCATTCACATCTTTTGTTGCATGTTGTTGCATCATCATGCGGTTTTTCTGTCTCACTCCAACATCTCTTCCTCTCTCTCTCAACCTCGTGTTTAGAGCTAGCTCAGTTCAACTTAGTTGGAATGCTTATTTTCAGAGGAGTTATTGCGAGCCTCATAGGCTGCCCATGCAGTTGGGATAACCCAGTTGTTTTGATGGGCGCGCCTCGGCTGGCCCTGTGTCTCGCCCCCAGCGCGCCCTTATATCATGTTTGTGTTGAACCTAAAGTTGTTTCTGCAAGTTTCGATCTTTCAAGTGAAATTATTCGCTTAATAAAGATTCGCTCCAACTTGCTTTCATTTGTGCACAGAGTGTAGCATTTCTGATAATCAGTCCTGACCGGACAAGGAAGTTCGTAATTTGTAGATTCAAGCCAAGCTGGATACGAGTATGATATCCGTAACTGGCTAGCGGGTATTAGTTTGACACAAGTTGGTGTTTATTATAATGTTCAAGTAGTCTTGCATGAACGTGTCCGAATTCGGGAATCCATCTGGTAATGTTATTTTGTTATTTTTGTTATTTTAGAGGTGCTGGATCGCGTGTAAGGCTTCCTTGTCCGTACAGGTCCATGCATGTTGATCACCGGGGGATGCACGGACCTGACCGGACAAGAAAGTCCGTAGACTTGTACCTGTATGATAGACCAAAAATTTCACAAAAAGCCTTATCTTAACAATGGAAACAAAGAACAAACAGAACAACATAACATTCAATCCAGTCCAGTCAATCTAGTCCATTAGATACAGGCTGAGCAGTATTTTGCCAAGACCTTGCAACATGCAATGACATGCTAGTTCCAAGCATCACACGATACTGTAAGAGGCAACTAGTATGTTTGCAACAGCGACATGCAACAATCGTCGTACTGCGACATTAACATGGCTGCAAACATGTATCATGCATGGTGCAACAACAAGTGGTGCATCCAGCAACATGGTTGTTGCTTGTTGCAGCAACATGATACATGGCACCATGTATGATGCATGGCACAGCAACAAGTAGCCTTGCAGCAACATTATGTTGCATGTAGCAGCGCCATGCAACATGGCGCCATGCGTGATGCATGCCACAGCAACAACTAATGGCTGCAGCAGGATGTTGCTTGCGTGTTGCAGCAACATGCAACATTGAAGCAACATGCTGCAGGTGTGGTGAGCGATGTGGGTGCAGCAACACGATTGCCGCATTTGCAACATGGTTGCAGCAGCATCTACAACAAACGCAACATACAATTTGCTGCAGCATGCATCATATGGTAGTGATCTACATCAAACAAAAACACGTAACAACTTACTGGATCCAGCAACATGTTGCTGCCACATGCAACATGTTGTCTCTCGCGACGATTATAGCCAAGTGCATGCTACATGCTACATATTGCTGCCGACATGTCGTACATGTTGCGGGCGTGTTAGCTATGTTTCTTTCGACTTCAGCTGCAGACTGACTGCTATTCCGACAAAATCGGCTTTTTTGAGGCCGCCGCAAAAAAGTTGCCCTGCGGCGGGTTTGATCCTGACATCCCGCCAACATCACGCCAACGTCTACGCCACTATACCACCGGACTTTGTTTCGTGTTTCCCGTAAAGGCTATTCGAGGCAATCGCCGTGATTGCTCGAGGGGTATGGATTTTCCAATCAATCACTCGTTTGACACTGGGCTGAGTCGTTCTACGTTCAACGTGGGCCCGCCCCCAGCCGAGTTGCGCTGAGAGGGGGTTTACTACGGGCCAATGTCTCACTTGAGATCAGGGCCAGTAGTAATTTACCCTACCTGCCGGCAGGTCTTGCCCTCAACTCGCCGCGATCTCGCCCTCAGGTCATGAAAACTGTCAGCGCCCTCTATAAGTTCCCCAAAGCAATCAGTCTGGCACTCTCCAGGACTGACGGTCCAGCTTAGAGGTGGGCACCAGATGGAGATCAAAAAAATCCGAAAAATCCCGACAACTCCAAATTTTGGACCCAAAAGATTGACCTGCCGGCAACTTCGTGAGGTATTTTGTCGAGATTTCTGCCGCGATCTCGCCCTCAACCTGCCGGCATCTCGCCCTCATGTCAGCAAAGAAAGGAAAATAGCGTGCATATTGAGGAGTGCAACCTGCCGGCATCTCGTCGTGGTCGGACCATGTCGAGATGCCGGCAGGTTCATGACATTGCTTTGTTTTAGTGCCGGATTTTCAAACGTTTTCTGTATTTTTGTTATTTTTCTTTTGTAATTGAGACATCCTTATGGTCCAAAACAGTTAGAAAATATCAAAAACTGCTGGAATGATAAACTTTTTTGCCTTGCTGGGCAAAAAACCGTCGTGGAACGCATTTTTGCATAACTTCAACCGTTTTTTCCATTCCTACTGTGTGTTTCTTGCTACTTGTGAATTTTACAGGTAAGCTGACAGCGAGTAAACCAATCGCCGATCATTATTTTTCTACGTTTTGGAATGGATTTTCTGTCACTCAGTCGATGAAGGGATCGCCATGTATGTTTTTGGATGCTAAAACTGCTGGTAGGAATCCGCTGTATTCGACAAAAGAAGTGTTTTATTCGCATTGTTGACAGTCTTTAAAAGACAAAACAGCTGCCGTCACGGTTTCATCCTTGATTATGTAGACGGCTGGTTTGAAAAGGAGTGGTTAATCGCAGAAATGTAGGTATATAGTTAAGTTAACCTGCTTTGTTTTTCCGAGTTCTGGTCATAACATTGGGCCTATACCTGCTCTTCAGTACCTGGTTGGCTTCTATTCCCAATGATTTGCACGCTCAGATTCAAGCAACAGTGAGCTCAAAGCAAGTTAATTCGCATTCACTGTTCACTGTTCACTCTTTCTCGAAACACTGCGCTGTATAATTGCTAACGTCAACTCGTTTAAGGAGACGTTTCCCGAGAAAGAACGAACACACATAGAGCAAAATGCACAAATTATACTTCATTGCAGAAATTGAACTTTGCAGACTTCTGACGAGATGCTTGTTGTCATTATTTGTTTGTTTCTCTGAGGATCAAAGTAATAAAAGGGCCAGAACGCGAGCTTGTCGTGAGGTTCGCGAGCTTGCCGTCATGTCTTATGCCAACATGCGGGGTGGATTACTACGGGCCCAGAAGTCTACTTTCATGCACGGGTGCGATAAGGTGAGAATGACCCTTCCAGGGTGAAGGGGGTCACAGCGGTCGCAGCCCCTCCGGGTGAAGGGTGTTTCAGTTAATCAAGAAATCGTAAATGTCGACCGGGGTGAGGGGGGTTAGGGGGGGGGAGTGGTGGTCTCAATTTCTTCTTCATGCGAAAATTTGTTTGCTTGAAACAAAAAAAGCAAACAAACCACTGAATAGTGGGACTTGTCTTCCGGTGCAGAAGCGTAATGAGGAGATTTGAACTTTCTAAGACTGATGCTATTGTCGAAATGCTGCTATCTGCATGAGTAGAAGCAATGTCAAATTCTCTCCTGCTTGTGCTACTGCCGCTTTGATTCTCGATTATAAAATAAAACTCCTTATCCTTTATTGACCATTGGTGCAGCTTGCAATAAAATAATGGACTTGCCGTTGTATTGAACAAAGGTCTTGTGTCAATCACAGAATGATGTAAGGTTGAAGAACCAGTTTCTTCATATTTTGGCATTCCTTTTCGGGAAAATCAATCTCGATAAACTCATCGAACTCATTAAGGTTCTTTTGGGCGTTTATTCCAAGATATAATGTTGAAAGTTCTGAGAAGCGCGGCTCACATAGTCTTTGTCCCACAGAAAATTTCGGTTGTTTTTAGGCCTGACAGTGGGAAATAATGACGGAAAGAAGAATACATAATCGAAACATGGTCCATGGTTGGCTGTTCCTCAATCTCGGAGTATCGAGCAGTTGTCAATTCGCTTACAGCGGTATCGCAATCCGCAGCTCTTCACTTGACCGGTTGTCCCTCTCCTTAATATGTTGAATGCATCGAATATAATGACTCGAACCGCTCAAAGATAGGGACACAAAGGCCTTACTGAACTAAGGCTGCAACATGCAGACTGCTTTAGTGATTACCTGAATAGTGACAGTGTGTGAGCCAGTCGTTGCACACAATGCCAGATTTCGTGAAATGTGTACGACAAGGCTTGGCGAACAGGGCTGAGAAGTCGATAATGCGGTCTTGAGTGCTAATTACGCTCAAGCATTTACGAATTTTCTAAAATAAGAAATTCGTAATTTCTGTGGATGAACAGCAACGTCAGCAAGGGAAATGTTTTTGAAACCATCTTGCTTTCCGCTTTCAGGGAATATACAGTTTGCCTGGAGTCTGTTGAAAAAGTGCCTGATGAAGAGTATTGGTAGATTTCTGGACATTTACGAGTTCTAGGATAAAAAAATCCTAACTTTTGTAGATGAACATCTTGTACGCCAAGATGGTCACCATTAAAACGATCTTGTCCTCCGCTTTCAGAAAACATATAGCATGTTTGAAATCCTTCCAAAAAGGTACCTGGGTGAAGGGTGTCCTTGTGATTTCTGGGGATTTTCGAGTTTTTAACATAAAAAAAATTCGTAACTTTTGTAGATGAACATCTTGTACGCCAAGATGGTCACCATTAAAAGCGCCTCATCCTCCGCTTTCAGAAAACATATACTTTGCCTGGGATCCGTTTGAAAAAGTGCCGGGTGAACGGTCGGTGAGACTTTTATAATAGGAGTGCTCAAGTGGAGGCTTTTTTACCATTGTAAAACGTCTATTTGAGCACTCCCATTATAAAAGTCTCACCCACCCTTCACCCGGCACTTTTTTAATGTACCTCGGGCAAAGTATATATTTTCTGAAAGCGGGGGACGAGGCGGTTCCAATGGTGAAAACTCAAAAATCTCCAAAAATCACTGGGCACACCCTTCACCCAGGCACTTTTTCTAATGGACCTTAGGCAGTGTATACATTTTCTGAAAGCGGAGGACGAGGCGGTTCCAATGGTGGCCATCTCGCCAAAAAGGTGTTCATCTACAAAAGTTATGAATTTTTTTATATTAAAAAAATCGAGAATGTCCAGAAGTACTACTCACCAAGCACTTTTTTCAACAGACTCCTTTCCTACACATAAACAATTCACGTTCAAATATCTCCTTTGCTTAATCTAACCTCACTTTTGATTTTCTTCTCGGCTTTTGGTAAAGGGGGTCACCTTGGTCCCGACTCAGGGGTGAAGAGGGGGTGAGAAAATTCTCACACTATCGCACCTGTGCTTTCATGAACCATAATGCATATATTCCACTGCGGTGAGCATGTGAGTCTCAGTGAATATGCTAAGTGATGCCATCCACCAGATTTCCCTGCGATGCTATGGTCAAAAAGCATTTTTCACTTTTCGAGGGATTTTATTAGATTGTAAAGAAAGTTCCCGGGCACTTTTGGAAATTTCATTTCCAAACGCATTTTTTCAGCGCTCGGCTTTGACACCAAGTTTGTGATACTATTCAGCAGAGGGAAGCTTGAAGTTTTCAACAAGTCTTCTGACTTTTATCGATGCCAAGACGTGTTTGACCTGCACATCAAGAAGAGAAATTTTTCCAACCACAAAAATTTCGCAATTTTTCTTTCTACGGCCAATTTTTGTGCAAATCAAAGAAATTCGTCCAAATCATGGGTGGTTTGACTGGTTTGGTTGAGAAGTCTGTTAACTTCTGACCCGCCGGTGTACTCGAGTTTTGCGATTTGCTCTCAGAAATTACAAGCTGTCGAACTTGCCTCTGACTGCAAGTCTTTTCGCCGCTGGCGTCGCTTCTGCAGGGATCGCCACGCCTGGATGATGGGTCCAAAAGATTTGCAAGGCATTACCCCAACAATGTTCGCAGTAGTCGAAGAGGTTCCTTTATTGCAGAACTAGAAGACTACAAATTCACTTACTCGAAAAATGGTGCATTAGGGGCGAAAAATGGTCGATTTTTCAAACTTCCTGGGAAAAATTTTTTTGCAGGTGGGCTTCAAAAAACCTGAATGGTCCTCATGACAACCCAGCAGACCTTTATATAACTACAGCATCTGGGCTCTCCAGCTCTCATCATGCCTGAGATAACCCTGCACAAATAGGCGACTTTTCGCGACGACCTTTTGCCCTTCTGCGCAGCTGGTGGACCGCAGTGAGGTGCTGAGAAGCCAGCAAGACGGATATATGTTGTAGAGAAAATTGTCTTTGCAATGAAGTTTGTAACTCCAAAAAAGAATCAATCTGCTTGAAGTTACAGCGATTTGAAAAAAAAAATTTTTGCAAGTGCCCGGGATCTTTCTTTACAACCTAATATTTCCAGCTTTTGATGCGCTATTCATTCAAAGAGTTTTGCACAAGAAGAAGAATCAAAGAGCTCATTGGCACCATTGTCCAGACCTAAGCCTTTTTCTCCTCTCCGACCTGGATTTGATTAATCGTGTAGAATGCTGCTCAACATGTGAATGTTGCGTATTCCTCACACCACTGTAACGTTTAGTTTTTTTTTGAAGCAAAATGCTTATATGTACAGTAAGAAAACAATTTATGTACAGTCAAATCGTAATAGTTCGATTCGTGGAGCTTGAACATTCTCCAGGCGTGCAACCAACGCTCAAATCACTTGTGTTTAAAGGTATATGTCCAGAGTTGCAGAAACATCTCTCTACATCCGAACATACAATATCGAAGCAGGCTTGCTCCTGAAATTTTTCACATACCACTAGGCTAGCAGATTTGAAACATAACTGAAAGAACAAGAGGAGAGTTTTTTCATATCACTACACACTTACTTCTCTGCATTCGCGTGGACAAATAAATCCACAAGTAGAACTGTACATATTGGTCGGACAGCCACCTGCGTTGAAAAACTTATATTTATATCATATCATAAAGCTCTTATGTTGTTTTTAACACACCTGATCCCTCGGGATAATCTCCGATTGCGTCCCATGCTTCATCGCCGGACATATCAATCTGTACCGTGCCGTCAGTACCTGGAAGATTGGCAGTACTTCAACAAAGAATACGTATAAAGGCCAAGACTAACGTATGCATTCTGTGGGATACAGCAGACAAATCGGAATGGAACCAAATGGACACAGAACTGATCCAAGAACACAAGTGCTTGGTGGAGGGCATTGTTTTTCTTCACAAGAAATAACACCGCTTACGTTGTCCAGCTCTCCTTAACTCCATAGGGTTGATTATAAACAAAGTAAAATTACTCATAAACTTGCCTCGCTCTGCAAAGTTGAGAATATGGAAATGACGAGCACTGACGAGTGTAAGCAACACTACAAACAAAGTTATTGAAATTTTCCTTCATTTGCGAGAACTTTGATTCAAATATAGTACTCACACAAAAATAAAATGCAAGTTTTCTCAAATGCCATTTTTCGCGGAACACTCAGTCTGCACGCTTTTATAAATGTTACTTGTGTGATAATTTAGCATAATCAGCTCAGACACAGTATCATGGGTTAATCGTTGGTTTTGTTTACTCACATGTATAAACAACTCAACTGCACATCACCAGAATCGTTGAAACAGTTATAAAAACAAAGGTTGATTGTTTGACGATTAATCATCGGCTAACTTAAAACACTGTGATGTTCAGCGCCAAATTCGGAAAAAAGCTAAAGAGGATTTAGTAGGACTTCATGATGCTGAAACTACAAACTACAACATTTTATTGCTACAGCTGTTTTATAAAAGAGCAATCATCAGTCTCAAGATATCTTATTAGGTCGGTTCAATAGTTTTGTCAGGTTTTTTACACGCAAATTTCGACATCAAAATGAACAAACATTTTGGGCTGTATTCGATGCGAAATTTCTTGCTCTTTCCAGCTGCGATATCTGATAGAAAGTGTGATAATCGCTGGACATTACAACCCCTTTTTTCACCATGTCTAACTTTCGCTAAGTTTCGAAATTTTTATCTGAGACTTTTGAAGGAGCAGCGATAGCCAGCAGGAGGACAAACTTTTGCCATCTAGAGCAATTTTTTGTAACTCTGTGGCTCGTGCTACAAAATTTCTAAGATTTATTATTTGAAGTAATCAAAATTTTTATTCGACTGATTCTACCTCGCGAGAATATTTTCATTGAAAGAGGGAGTTGAGAAAACGTGCATTAATTATGAACCAACTCGATATTATCTACGAAAATAAAATGGATTTTGGCAGACAACTACCAACATTCCTGAAGGAATAGTCAAATTATTTGGATGCCACATATTGCATGGGCAGTGAAGGGAACTAAATTTAAAGTGGTTTTGCACTTATCACGAATACCGTGCTCAGAAATGAAAAAAAACTTAAAGTAGAGGATTTAAGCGAACATTATCTTCAGATGAGGTATGGCAAGATATTTCTGCATTTGCTGCTGTATTCTTAAACATTCTGAGCGTGCTTACAAGGGAGGGATACCGTATAACAAGAACATTTGTAATGATTGCTTTTTGTGATATTTATGATATACCACAAAAGTCGATTCAAAGCAATAACCATTCTGTTTTTGCACTAAAATTAGGGCTTTGCACAACTTTGCACCAAGAGTACTTTGAAATTGTTCGTTGATTTCGCAAAATTACAAATTTCCCTTTGACCTTTTCATGTCCCCTACTTCTTATTCGCTTTGCTTTTGAGCTATCACTCAATTCTATACTAACAAGGGAACCGTGTCGAGTCGAAGTGGCCTTTCCAAATGAGACCCATACTGCTTTGAAGAGTATTAAGCGGTGATTCCAAATCTGCCTTCCAAATCTGCCAAGCGCCTCTGGACGTCGAGTTATGACCGTTCTTCGGAACGAAAAATGAATGCAGAATTTAGGTAAAATTGATTGTTGCAATCCGTCCAGCGCTCAGATAAAGCAATGTTAAGTATTAGCATATTAAATAAAATGTATCCATTGCATAAACAGCTCTGATACTTGACACTGGACCAATTGAGCAGATTTGAGCGATTTTGCTTCAGTTTTGCGTTCAATTTTTCGACCTGAAAAACGAGCATAACTCGGCACCCAGAGGCGCTTGGCAGATTTGGAAAGCAGATTTGGAATCACAGATTAATGCACTTCAAAGCAGTATGTGTCTCATCTGGAAAGGCCACTTCGACTCGACACGGTTTCCTTGTAAGTAGAAGTAAGCCCCTCTTTCACAGGAGGCGGGTCAGGCGTCACGATTTTCCGCCAAGCGACGCCGCAACGCGACTTGAAGGTAAGGCCTCAGCTCCCGTCAGTGCCCCTGCGGAAGTCTTACATGGTATCGAGTCATGTATCTGCCGCCACCCCTCACACGCCTATTATGGCGTCGTGCCAGCACCGTAGAGTTTTGTGAGGCACAAAATTTCCCGGGGCCGACGTCTGCCGCGCGCGGTGTGACTCCTGACCCTAGTAATTCTACAAAACGTTTGCGCGCAGGATTGCCAAGGGCGCAATTTGCAAGGGCAAAATTGCGCTCGCAAAGAAAATTTTCTATGAAAATTGCTGAAGAAGAAGTGCAAAAGCTTTTTGCGCTAGTAGAAAACCTGCTGACTCGGGGGAATGTTGGACACCCCCCCCCTCCCCAATTGATCTCACATTCATCGTGAGATTTAAGCCATATCAAAGGCTGGAGAGTGCATGAGCCATCGATCAGTTACTCGCCTACAGAGACATTAGAAAATTTTTGTGATAATTGAATCCCCAATGTGTTCGCCCTCGGTTCTATAATAATCGTAGATACTTGGTACTCTTGATTATTAAGCTTTATTGAGCAGAATTACAAAAAATGCAAGCATCACTAACCGAACATATAAAACTAGCAGATCGCAAAGAAAAATAGTAAAATAGCAGATGAATTACCAACTGAATATCTAAAACTAAGAAGATAGATAAAGATAAGATAAAGATAAAATAGCAAAATAGCAGATGAATCAATGATTGCTGTGAGTATTTGACAAATGCGGCGCATATGGCGTATACCTGAATCCATTCTTGTGCCATTCGGAGGCAATTTTTGTCGCCGCCCAGAAGTTGATTGCAAAAATACAAGCGTCACCATGTTGCGCCACTCGAGCGCATCCAAAATACACGATCGTTTGTTCGGGATGAAGTTTTCCGGCCACATGGGCCCACTAAAACAATCATTTGTTAGGATCATGCCTAGCTCGATATAAGCGACGGTCACATATCGTATAGGCAGCGCCATACTTGATCCGCTTGACCCACTTTATCCGCTTCGTCATTGGTCGATTCAGTGAGCTGACCAGTAGCGAAGCGGTCGTCCGCTTGATCCGCCTGATCCACTTCATCCACTTCACTATTGGTTAGTTCACTGAATTGGCCAATGATGAAGCGGATCAAGCGGATCAAGTGTGGCACGTGCCATAGAGGCCTGCATGGTCGCAAGAGTCGCGTGCGTATGACCATTGCGCCGCGCACGTCCGATGTCCTTCCCACGGCTCAGATAGGCGCCAGACTTACCCTGTAATACACCTTCATTCGCCCTCCTCCTCCCCTACTATTGATCAGTGCTTTGATTTGGTCCGTAGCGAATGAGTGAAACGGACGAACCGGTTAAGCAGGATAAGTCTGGCTCCTGCCTCAGTGACATAGCGATCATGCAGTTCCCTATAGTGCGTTGAACAAATACCTCCAACAGGAATGTATCAACACCTCTGATATGGGAACGATCCCAACTCAAAGTGGCCAACTGGAATGAAGCGCATGTGTTAAGATTTGTCTTTATGAACTGATTCCAAGTTTACCTTCCGTATCTGCGATGCCGTTCTCCGAAGAAGTTATGAGCGGTTGAAAATGCGAAATCATTGGGGTTTCAGTGCATAATGTGTTCATGAATCCACCTTGAAAGTGCATGACTAGTGATATTGAGTGTATAGGGCCCTGCAGGATCGCGAGAGTCGGTGAGGTTGCGGCCATTGCTCGCGCATTGAGCTTTCTCGGTTTTCTTTCTCCTTTTAGAAGTTTTTCTGTTATCAGATGTGAGCTTTCAACTATTTGAGTCGATTCCGAAAAGTACAGGATTGTTTGAGTGGTTTGAGGCCTTGGAGCATCCTGCGTGCGCAATGGCCGCATACTCACCGACTCTCGCCATCCTGCAGAGTCCTATACTTACTTTAAGAAATGCTCCATCTGAAGGAAACACAAATAACTGTTTTTGAACGACTAAAAACAACTAAAGTTCTTTGATAGAGTAATGAAAAGTCCAAATTTGGCAGATATACGACGTCATACCGTTATTAAAAACAGTTCTTTATATTTCCGCCAAATTTGAACATCTCTTGAAATTACTACACTCAATATTTTGCTAGTCATGCAATCCCAAGTTGGATTTTGAAGCACATTATACGTTAAAGCCCCATTGACTTGCCACATCTGACCGCTCATAACTTTTTCTAGAGGACGGCATCGCGTATGAAAAAAGCTTAATTCAAAAGCAGCTTATCACGGCGCACCTTATGGTGTGCGGCTCATCCAGTTCGCCTCCTCTAATTAGGATCTTTCCTTTGTGAGCATTTTCAGCTGGTTTTCCATATATATACAGTGCTGGACATAATTATAAAGCCACTCTAAAAATCGTCGTAATTTTCGTTCTTGTCAATGAGTCTGTCTGAAACTTTGCTGTATTGTGCGCATGTCAACCTTACACGAATCCTCAAAACGGCTTCCAGTCTTGTTGAGTTTGAACGGAGAAAAACGAAAAAATTCGAAAAAGCCCTCTTTGAAAGCTGGACAAAATTATAAAGCCACCTGGTTTTTCTAATCACTATCGCATTCGTTGACTCTCACAATTTTTTGTACAATTACATCCCAAAATATGAAACATTTGCAACATCTAGGCCTGTCATCCTACTCAAATAGAAGCAATCACTGCATTTTTTGCTTTCAAAAGCACCAAAAGTCAATCTGCTTCAACAAACATCTGGTTTGAAGAGTTTTCAAGCTCTTGTTCATTTAAAATGATAATCATGGAATCTACTGACCCTTCTGAATAGATGAGATGAAGAGCGCTTTCGTAAACTCTGCGTAATCGCTGATTTTGACGGACAGACTCCAATCTCAACATAGGCTTGAAACGCTTTTAAACCACAAAACTCAGTTTGCAATGTCCACAAAGTACTGAACTTGATTTATTACTTTACCTACATGGGGATGCAGCTTTCGCAACAACTTTCAGATTTTCCCTAATGATGCGGTAGCGATTCAGACCTGAAATACTTTCCACGACAATTTTCTGCGGACAGAAGATTCGATATAAACCTAGATCTCCTTATTTCCCTCTGTGTTTCATGTCATATTTCACCCGATGAATGAGATTAGCTAAGATTTTAAACTTTCAAGAGTCTACGGTTTTATATCGGGATCTGAGTTGGCTTTGATTGTGTAGGCTGCTCCACTCAACATTCAGTGGATGTCAACTGCGGCTGAACCAGAGTGCTCAATCCCGAAATTTAATCCCAGTCATGCACACGAGTTCACTGTTGTATGGCCGTCGTAATGACTACATTACAATAATTTCTGTCGCTTGAAAATCGAGTTTTGTGGTGCAAAAGTGCGTCAACCCTATGGTGGGGTTGGAGTCTGTTCGTCTGTTCAGACTCCAACCCCACCATAGGGTTGACGCACTTTTGCACCACAAAACTCGATTTTCAAGCGACAGAAATTATTGTAATGTAGTCATTACGACGGCCATACAACAGTGAACTCGTGTGCATGACTGGGATTAAATTTCGGGATTGAGCACTCTGGTTCAGCCGCAGTTGACATCCACTGAATGTTGAGTGGAGCAGCCTGCACAATCAAAGCCAACTCAGATCCCGATATAAAACCGTAGACTCTTAAAAGTTTAAAATCTTAGCTAATCTCATTCATCGGGTGAAATATGACATGAAACACAGAGGGAAATAAGGAGATCTAGGTTTATATCGAATCTTCTGTCCGCAGAAAATTTTCGTGGAAAGTATTTCAGGTCTGAATCGCTACCGCATCATTAGGGAAAATCTGAAAGTTGTTGCGAAAGCTGCATCCCCATGTAGGTAATGTAATAAATCAAGTTCAGTACTTTGTGGACATTGCAAACTGAGTTTTGTGGTTTAAAAGCGTTTCAAGCCTATGTTGAGGTTGGAGTCTGTCCGTCAAAATCAGCGATTAGGCAGAGTTTACGAAAGCGCTCTTCACCTCATCTATCCAGAAGGGTCAGTAGATTCCATAATTATCATTTGAAATGAACAAGAGCTTGAAAACTTTTCAAACCAGATGTTTGTTGAAGCAGATTGACTTTTGGTGCTTTTGAAAGCAAAAAATGCAGTGATTGCTTCTATTATATTTGAGTAGGATGACAGGCCTAGATGTTGCAAATGTTTCATATTTTGGGATGTAATTGTACAAAAAAAATTTGAGAGTCAACGAATGCGATAGTGATTAGAAAAACCAGGCGGCTTTATAATTCTGTCCAGCTTTCAAAAAGGGCTTTTTCGAATTTTTTCGTTTTTCTCCGTTCAAACTCACCAAGACTGGAAGCCGTTTTGAGGATTCATGTTAGGTTGACATGCGCATAATACAGCAAAACATTCATTGACAAGAACGAAAATTGCGACGATTTCTAGAGTGGCTTTATAATAATGTCCAGCACTGTACGTATGTACATTTTATGCAGCGCCGGACCGAAAGGTGGAGGGGAGAGAAGCCCCGAGAATGGGTCGTGGAATTTCTTGATTGATAGTATCAGGTGCTACTACGCCGCATATTTGTATCTACTGCGTCTCAACCATAGATGCGATAGGTGGAGAAATTTCTCTGACCCCCTTCACTTTAGGGCCGGCATCTGGCTGACCCCCTTCACCTGAGGTTGAGGCTAATCAAGGCAAAGAGTTACTACAACGAAACTTTTTAATTGGAAAGGAAACGCCAGCTGCTCTTCTCCTCAGACATCAAGACTGCAAGAGAGTATCGAATCAACAACGTTTCGTTAAAAAAACGCATGCTTGAGACCTTCTGCGGGCTCAAAAAGCGTTGATAACGAAACGTAATCAAAAAGTAAAAGATTGCTGATTTTTTGAATAATTAATATTGTATCAATGAATACATACTATTGCAAAAAAGAGTTGAGCAAGAGTAGAAAAACTGACCGACTAGCGATGGATGCAAGAAATCGTACCATATCTCCTTTCACTAAAGAGAATAATAACAAACAAAACAGCAGTTAGATTACACGTTTTTCAAGCTTTCGATTCATATATAAAAGTTCGAAAAAGACCTTCTTGATTTGAAAATATAATTATCCAAAATTGGCTGATATCGTAGCTAGTTAAAACTGGTCGTATCTCGCTTCACAAAGAAGCTATGAAAAAAGAGACGGTCTACGTCGATTCCTCGTGTGCTTAGCTATCGAATGGTATATAAGGTGTTTGTGCACGAAGCTTTCTTCGCCCAAAAAAGTCTTGCTCCGGCAACCCATAGAAAGCCGGAGCGGGGTGGAGCAAGTTACTATTGAATATCTCCACCTCATTTTTGAGAAACCACAAGTTTTTTCACCCGACAACCTATATACCATTAGAAAGCTCACAAAAAAAGGATTCGACGTAGACCGTCTCTTTTTCTCTAGCTCCCCTCTACTTAGAGTTACATGGGATTTTAGCCAAAAACATGTGTGTTTTTGTCGAGAAATTTCTGCGTGAAGAATGGATAAAGGTGCCTGATTTTCTAACAGCGTCACAGAGCAAGGCCTTGCCAGTAAACGTAGACCGTCTCTTTTTTTTTATCTTTGTTCTTTCTTTCAAAAATAAATTACAAAATAATTACACAAAAATAGGTGGTGAGTAGACGTATAAAACTGGTCGTATCTCGCTTCACAAAGAAGCTATGAAAAAAGAGACGGTCTACGTCGATTCCTCGTGTGCTTAGCTATCGAATGGTATATAAGGTGTTTGTGCACGAAGCTTTCTTCGCCCAAAAAAGTCTTGCTCCGGCAACCCATAGAAAGCCGGAGCGGGGTGGAGCAAGTTACTATTGAATATCTCCACCTCATTTTTGAGAAACCACAAGTTTTTTCACCCGACAACCTATATACCATTAGAAAGCTCACAAAAAAAGGATTCGACGTAGACC